ATAGGACCATTTAAAAAATATATATATATATTGTTTTCTTTCTATAGTGTCTACTGTTGAAACAAATAACTTTTATGGGCTCTTATGCACTGTGCTCTCCTTACAATCTAGACAACAAGAATTAATAAAAAGAGCATAGAAGTTGGATTCAATGTTGCTGCATGATTCCAGTGGATATGATACATACATATATATACATACATATATATATATGTCAAGAATTAAATAAAAAGAGCATAGAAGTTGGATTCAATGTTGCTGCATGATTCCAGTGGATATGATACATACATATATATACATACATACATACATATATATATATACATATACATTTGTTTATTTCATTTGTAAGGATTTTTTGCTTTTGTTGATAAAGGTATGAGCTTGGGTGTCAGCCTGCCAACACTAAGCTCTCAAGCAACAAGACTGTGAGAAGAGTCCGTGTGAGAGGAGGCAATGTGAAATGGGGAGCCCTCAGATTAGATGCTGGAAATTATTCTTGGGGCAGTGGTTTTACCCGCAATACATGTATTCTTGATGTGGTTTATAATGCCTCAAACAATGACCTTGTCAGAACACAAACTCTGGTGAAAAGCGCCATTGTCCAGGTGGATGCTGCCCCATTCAAGCAATGGTGCCTTCAGCACTATGGGGTTGATATAGGCAGGAAAAAGAAGGCTACGACTGTTAAGAAGGAAGCAACGGAGGTATCCATTTTCTTCTCTGTTGTACACTTCTGTAGGAGGCTAGCTACCTACATTTTCAAGTTTCCATAAATTAAATTTCATAGCTTCTAAGCTGTAAGAATTGATAGATGCTGTCTTTTTCTCGTCCCTGTCTTTCACTTCTCGTTTTACTTATCTGCCTGGATCCAAAGGGTTAAGAATGTATGAGTGCACTTGTCTGCGAACTATTGTTGTTAATTGAGCTATTACCTGAGCATGTTTGCATCGTACCAAGCATTAGAAGAGTAGGTCATAAATCAACCCCTTACCATCTGTTTTTAAAGTTGGCAATAGTGGATAAAGTTGCCGAAATTAATCATCAGTTAGCATTTTCAGAAGAATTTTTTCAGACCCCAAACTTAGATCCATGGTTGGTTTTCTGTTAAATTCGGTCCCGACTGATATTTTGCCTATCTTTGAGGGGTTCCTTGTCCCCCTTTTTACATATGATTTAGTTATGCACATGGATTAAAGATCTCAACTGAATAGGTATACTGATTCCAAAAACCTTTTATCAGTTTTGTAACTATATTTTCTTTATCTTTCATCTACTTTATTGTAGTAAGCTTTGTACAAATAAGGAAATAATTATTATGTGTTTATTTATAAAAAACTGTGTCTTTATGAGGAAACTTTCCTCTCATTTGATCTTTTGATAAGATTTATTTTTTGTTGCCCAGTTTTCTCAATGTTGAATAAATAGTATTGACAAATTTGATTAATAGTCATTCTTCTTAATCATGATTATGATTCGCATTTGTTTGAGTGAATCCTGTGACCCATATTTTTTAATGAAATCTGCTTTCTTTTCTTCTTTTCTAGTACATTTATTATCTCTGTAGTACGAGCCTTTAATTAGGGTAATTTGTCTGACACCTAAACTCATTGGACACTCTACCATAGTTATTTTCTTTATTTATTAGAAATATAATATATTTTTAACTCAAAGTTATTATTAACTAACAAATAGGTATTCATATTTAAAAGATTTCAACAAAAATAATTCATAGCTGCTATAAAATAAAATTTATACTATATAAACGAATATTTTAAATAATTTAATCAACTTGTCGACTACGTGTCTTGTCAATATATTTTTGAAAAATCATGTCTCGACGATACGTGTCAAACACACGTGTCCGTGTCGTCGTATTATAATTTATTATTTAATGGGAAACATCCATATATTTGTATGAGTGGAGAAACTGGCATGGAACTTCTATTGATGCTAAAGTTTGAATGTACTGGTTCTATAGGCCAGCTGTAGGCAAGAATCATGTAAATTTTTCTTTTACCATATGAGTGGAAACGATTTTTTGACTTATTAATTTATTTCTGTGATCGTTCAATTTTAAATTCTTTCTTTTCGACTACTTGCTCCCTGGCTTAGTCTAATTAAGTCCCTTTAGAGGTTACGTTGGTTTATTTTTTTATTTTTATTTTTATTTATTTTTTAGTTTTTTGTTCTGTAGTGTGTTTGAAAAATGATTTTGTGTTAGTTTTTAGTGCTATGAAATGATAGGTTGGAATGTTTTGGAAGTTCCTAATTGGAATAAAATTTACCATCTCAATAATGGAAACAGGAGGAGGAAAGGAAAATGGAAGATGCATTGAAAGTATAATCTAATGTCAAAATGTTAAGACAATAGGAACATTTTCAAATTTTCAAATAACCTATAACAGATCTAGTTCTAATGAAAAATGACCCTGGAGCTTTGTTTCATTGCCTACTTGGTTCATTTTGTGTTTTGTAGGACCTTACATCGGTGCAATCATGTGTATAAGTTGCCCCTAATCTTGCTATGCCCACCATTGTTTGTTGTCCTTCGATGTGACTCATCTTGTTACCTCACTGATTGATATACAAATAATCAAGTCTTAGTCTACTGGTGGAATCCGTCACTTCAATCTGGGAGCTGTCCATTTTGGAACATTAGTACATGTTCCTATGCCTGTTCCTACCCAACTTAGAACATTGGCCTGTACAAGTCTGTACAATGCGGCAATGCCGTTCCAACTAACTAGTAAAATGTGAAACTTCTTCCCATTCGATAATCATCCATTTATTCCATTGCTATTATATCTTCAGACTATCAAAAAGTTGCTGCCTCATCCTTTTTTTGTGTTTCCATCAAGTTTTTCCCTTCTTGCTTCCGGAAGCCTAAAAAATAAAAATGCACCTTCACGTGTTATCAATTTGCAATCTGTTTATTGGTGAGAGATTGTTCACTGTATCCTGAGAATTATCTGTTGAATATCTTGTAGAAGACCTTGGACTATTCATCTCCAGTCAATTTCACCGTGCAGTAGAGTAAGGAATTCAAAGGGATGGTGATCTTTCTTTTTATCATTCATCCCTGTAAATGCAATTTTCTGTTGTAGAATTTTTTTTATTTTATTTTATTTTTTCACTTTTAAAGGCTGAGGGTGTGGTTTATCATGTTAAGTTCCCCCATGGATTTGTCTCTTCATAATGCATTTTGTGTATGCTGACATATTCTTGACATGAGTTGGCCGTTCCAGAATACAATTATCATTGCTTCGTAACACCTTTAATAACACCAGAAATCAAAAACAGAATTATGAAAACGCTTGAAATTGATGTCCTTTTCATTTGATATCTATGGGGGCAAGATTTTGCCGTTATCTTACTACGGTGTTGTGTAGGCTGTCATCATTCTGCACGTCCCCAATTCTCTCTATCCTTGATTGATTGGTTGTGGCTATAGCGTATTTAATTTGAGCAGTGAGGCTTCTACAGGAAGCTGTTTCTTTATCTCACATGAAGTGTGATTTTATGATGAATAAACAGGAAGGCAATGAAGGCAATGCAGCCCCAGAGGAAACAAAGAAGAGTAACCATGTGCTCAGGGTGCTTGAGAAACGACAGCAAGCTCGTAAACTTGATTCTCACGTTGAGGAACAGTTTGGTTCTGGCAGGGGGCTTGCATTTCATCTCGACCAGGTCAATGTGGCCGGGCTGATGGGTAAGTCTCATATGTGGCATTACCTTTGCTAACATGTATATATCCCATGCATCATCTGAACCTTGTGAATTTATGCAGGTATATTTTGGAAGGCAAGGAACTTGAATTCTACATGAAGAAGCTTCAGAGGAAGGGAAAAGGTGGAGCTGCCTAACCATATGGGACTCGTGCTTCTCTTGAGCTTGTCCCTCTGTTTTAGATTATTTATTTATTGCTTTTAATCTTCAACTTGTGTCTTACTATAAACATTGTGGTACTAATTTTCTGTCTTTTGAACTATAGATGATACAATGTCAATTCCGAACTATTGATGAGAAAATGCTGTTGAAATTTATCTTTAATGCAATTGGTGTTACATAAGAGCTTTCTATGCAAATACAAAAATATCCGATCTCTGTTTGCATCCGAATTTTAAAAAGGCCCTCTTTATCGAAGATGATGAACAAACACTGACAGAATTACTAGGTCTTACGAAACTGTTCCAAATAGAACCTGTTTCAATTTTCTTTGCAATGACACAAAGATGCTTTAATTGTATTTCTTCGTCCTACAATCTGGCTTCCAAGAAGAATTTGCTTTAATTGTCAACATGCCCCCCAGGGCACTTCTCCACTGGCAAAGGACGGACGCTGTCAAACCTGGCAGAGCAGAGGTCGTGAGTTCGAAACATGGGGCTCTTGGAAGGCAAGTATTTATTCTTGGAAGGCAAGTGGGAACTTGGAAGGCAAGGATTATTCTTGGAAGGCAAGGTGCAACTTGGATTGGCTTGCTTAGCACTTTGTCAGACCAGGTGGGAAGCGCTCGGACCCTGGCCAGTTGGAGGCACATCCTGCGATTAACCGGACTGTGTGAAGAGGGGCCGGATCACAGACCCAAGGATTAGTCTAGAATAGGACACCTTGTAAAAAAAAAAAAAAAAGAATTTGCGTCATACACCATATGAAGAAAATGTTCAACATTCATTAGCTTTTTAAAAGTCAAGTTTTGAAAGGTATGTGTTACATTATTTATTGCTCTCAACACTTTCGGCATTGATATATAGCACTTGTAACATTCACCTAAATTAGTAACAGCTTTTCTTCATAAACCAAAATTTGCTTCATCACTGTACCTAGTTTGATCTTGAGCTGCAAACGACGGATATTGCCATATTTACTCTAAATAAGAATAAAATTAGCTCCTTTGATTGTTAATAAGTGTAAAACAAGTTTCTTTAATCGTTGCTCAATTAGAATAAACTTCCAATAACCTGCTGTTTAATGTACTACTTTTCAAATGCCTCCTGATATATTGCAATTATTGTGTTAAAGAGTTCAGAGGGTCAGTAAGTTTGAAAACGGAGGACATTTTAAGAAAATGAGCAGCTTCTATGGATGATTTTCCAATTTCTTAGTACAACTCGTGTAGCATGACACATGACACACTCATCGACAGCGAACTCTACACACACCACACACACACTCTTCCAGCTACTAACACAAAAGGGAAAGAAGATCAGCGTTATGAAATCCTCATCCGCTGCTGTCGAAGTGGTGGAAGGGAACTCGCCGGCTTATGCCTTACTGTCTACTGTCATTGGACCTGTCTTGTTCTTCGCAGCTGCACCCTGCATTTTTTATATAGCATATACAGTAACAGTATTAAAAGTCAGACCAGATTAATGTTTCTAGTTTAGCTCATCCTATGATTAAACATACTAAACAGAAAGATTCAGATACTCGATATCTCCACTTACCTCAGACTTGGGTTGCCCCAGCATTTTTGTAAAAATGTTTCCATAAAACTGGGCATCTTTCCTGTTGTATTCCTTCACTTTCTCCTTCAAAACTTTGTATTCCAATTTCACATCTCTAGTATTATGCAATGTATTCACATGTGAGAACATACGTTAGCAAAATTTTGTACTTGATTTCAATGTATTACGGACTGACTGTCTCAAGCAGTGTTTTAAAAACCAGCCCAGATTAAGGTCACCAAGCACCCTAGGCTGGGTTTTAAAATATTGGTGCCAAGAGCTGAGGAATTATACCTGTTATCCGGATCAATTTCAAGTGCCTTCTTGATATCCAGTTCTGCTAAATCCAAGTCAACTAGATGAATATATGCTTGTGCCCTTCTATAAAGAGCTTTAACATTTTGACTTTCAATTTCCAAAACTTTAGTGCAAAGCTTCACTGCCTCTTTGTAATCCTTGAGTTTTAGTTTGCAAGCTGCATTATTCAGATTGCAGGTGACCTTGAGCAACTTTGCCTGTTGCTTCTCATCCTCACCAAAAGAGGAATCATATTCGATAAGTTTGACAGCCTGATGAATACTCGCATGGATCAGTGGAGAATTGAAACTCAGCAGAATGCAAATAATGCAAGTACCTTCTCGTATCTCTTCGAGGCTCTTTCATACTTTCCTGTCTTGAACAATGCGTTCCCTTCATCCTTCTTCTTCCCAGCAACTTCAATCTTCTCTGGCGTACTCATATCCCAAGATTCCTTCTCCTATAAACAATAACGTAGCGCTTTAATATAAATTACCCAAAGATATCAGAACGTATTGAGCCACCAACGCACGTAAAGGCCAAGATGTAAACTGGTCTTTGGGATGGGGAATGTTGATTGCAATCCATACCTATCTTGGTGCTTTCAAACAAAAAAATGTAAAATCTTCAGCACAATTAAATGGTAAGAACACAAGGAAACGTATTAGGCCCAACATAGCTCGGGACCTTGTCAAGCCTAGTGCTGTCAGGCCTTGGCCCTGCCAGTCCAATTTACGCCTCTGGACTGACCAGCTCTCTGAATAAAGAAGCACACCCAGTAATCTCGTCATATTTCACCTACCTTCACAAAGGAGACCATCTCAACTTCATAAGACACGGTAGAATTTCCAGGAATGACAGCCAGTTCTTGTGGAGATTCAGATGGACCAAATGCATACTCTGGCTGAACAGTTACAAGTGCAATTTCCCCTTTCTTCATAGTCTTCACAGCTCTATCAAGACCCTCAATAACTTGTTCTGTAGATTAAGTTCATAATTAAATAAGGGCTGTCTTTTCCAATATTTGAGTGAAGGAACAATCTCAAGAAGGACCATATAATCTTTAAAGATCTTAGCTAACTAATCTCATCAAAACGAAAATATTACCTTCATCTACTCTAAATTCAAAAGGTGGCTCCTCGTCATATCCCTTTTTCACAAAAACAGTTCCATCTTGCAGCTTCCCGATCAATTTCACTAACCAACAGCAAGAAACAATGAAGTGACGAACTTCCACAATTCATAAACAGAAAATCCAACGATTCTTTAGGAATTTGTGACTATCTTTTAACACAGAATTTACCTTGCACAATCGCACCATCATTGGGTTTCTCGTAACCCTCTCCTTCCTTAAGTATCTTTTTCAGAACCTTTTTGTCACTCGTAATCTCTGAAACTGTTTTCCATGAGACCAATTCCAAATTTATATGAATGGTAGCATTTGGTGGCACATCACATTCATCACCAGTGGCCTCCCTGCCCTTCTCTCCAAAACCATCTGCAACAAATTATAGTAAGCATGTTAATTATGAAGCTTAACCCCCCAAATCGACTTGTTGGATATTCTATAAATGTAAAAAACCGCCTAAAACATAGAATCATTCGAGAGTGTTGTAGCAATACTTACATTGAGGTTTTACAGTCAAGAAGGCCTTTTCTCCCTTTTTCATTGTCTTAACAGCTTTGGGAAGGGCAGGACAGAAATAACCTGCACAAACATCACCCCATTAATCACATTCAACCAACATGAAACAGTCATAAAGGGGAAAAAGTGAAAAATGAAAGATGAAAATTAAAAATAGCATTCATATTACATACCATCATTCACTATGAACTCGACACCATCTGATTTCGAAACAACGGTTCCATCTTCGAGTCGAGCCTCATATTTGACTGCAATATAAATACAGGATAACATAAAGCATCATCAAACTCATCCGATGAAATATACATAAATTGTCAGCAAACCTAACAGACGGCAGATACAATACCAATTACTTCATCAAGATCTTTAGGATTCTGCCATCCCTCTCCTTCTGTAAGTACTTTCTTCAATATTCCACCATCTTTGCATATATCTTTTACACTGGTCCAAGAGAGCAATTCAACTTCGAACTGAAGCGTTGCGTTGGAAGGTATTGTTGGAGGCGATCCAGACTCCCCATAAGCCAGTTCTGGAGGAATAGTGAAAAGAGCCTTTTCACCTTTCTTCATAGTCTTGATTCCTTCATCCCATCCTTTGATTACTTGACCTGTGCAAGTAATCAAGAAATTGGTATCGTTATTTCTGATTTTCTACACTGTCTATACAGTTGAACAAATTCAATAAAGAAGTTCTAAAACTCAGCAATTCAAATGTGGCGTTAGAGAGATGTCCCGAGTATGCCACTTAAACGTAAATCCGGCTTACACGTCTAAATATATCGATCGGTTTTCGAAGACAATAGGAAGATGTATACCTTGGCCTAGCTTAAATTTGAATGGAGTGCCTCGATCACGGCTAGAATCAAACTGTGTCCCATCTAGCAAAGTACCCACGTAATGAACTGCAAAATTAAAAGAACTCGTTAAATCTATCTATTTCCCCCCAAAAATAAATAAATAAATACTGAGGCTGAATTTGGGAGAAAATAATTCAAAATTTGAATAGAGAAATTTCGAGATCTAATTCAGATATATCAATTACATACCCTTCATGTACAGAGCATATGCAATGTATGTATCAACATACCTTCAACTTCATCGCCAGAACTGGGTTTCTCCCAGCCATCACCTTCCTTAAGCAGCTTCTTTTTCAAGCCATTTCCAATATCCTTTTCTTCTCCAACTTTCAAAATTGAATTGCCCACTGGGGGATCCATGTCATCATCATCCATTGCCATTTCTGCGTCGTTGTTTGCAGCTGGGAACTCAAAATCATCATCCATTGGCACCCTTCAGTGTTTAAAGTCGCACTTGAGGAAGATTTGGTAATTCGAGAGAGCTAAATAACAATGAATCGAACGAAATGTAAGTGATTCTAACTTCTGCGCAAGAATCAGAAAGAAATTGGGGGGTATTTATGGAGATTTTTAGGGCAGGGAATTGGACTTGGCTCTAGAGAGTTCTACGAATATGAAGAAGAGTTTGTCAAGGTAAAGTGTGTCTAGAGACTTCTCTACCAAAATCTTGTATGCATGGTAACGTCGAGATACAAGATGGGTGGTTCGATTAGAGATTTAGCCCAAATTCACTTTGATTTTGCTAGTGGTATATCTAGGGTTGGGTTTTGCTATCCAACCCAATCAATCCAAACCAACTCGATCGGTTTGGGTTGGTTTTTTAAGTTCAATTGGGTTGGGTTGAATTGAAAAAATATTTTTGAGGTTGGATTGAGTTGGGTTTGGTTTCGGGTTATGATTTAAAATCCAAGCCAACCCGATGAATTAAAAATAATAATATTTAAGATGAAAAGAAAATCTAAATAAAAATAATAGTAAAGATATGAAAAAGACTTGTGATTTATAAACGTCCATTTTTATTTTAAATAGATTGATTCCTATAAACATAATTTACAAATGAAATGTTATTCCATAATAAAGTAAAAATTAAGAAGATGATGATGAAATGAATAAATCTCAAAAAATTGTAAATAAAAAAGTAAATAATAATAATAAATACTTCATAAATTTTAAACTTAGGGTGTGTTTGATTATATTTATTTTTCATGGAAAATATCAGTTTTCCACTCAAATTCTTACTTAAGGTGTTTGATTGCTATTTTTTTCTACGGAAAACATTTTTCAACTTTTGAAAATATGCCTAATTTTCCTTATTTTTAAGGAAAACATTTGTTGGTTTTTATTTTCCACAAAAGATGAAAAACATTTTCTTTTTTAGGTGATATTTTCCATACCAATCAAACACACTCTTATTTATACATCATTTTTCAAAAAAGAATTCCTTACATAGGTATTTTTAAAAAAATTTATAAAAAATCAGAGATTTTCAAGTAATTTCAAACTTTAAAAATTTATCTAAATTTAACAAAAATATAACCAAATCGAACTATAATTGGATCGAAGCCCAAACCGACCAACCCAACCCAACCCAAACTTGATCGGTTGGGTTGGGTTGGGTTTAAACCATTAATTGGGTTGGATTGAGTTGACATTAAATAAAATCGACCATTTTAAGTTGGGGAAAAAATCGACCCAACCCATGCCCACCCCTAGGTACATCGAAGTGTACCTATACACCCCACTCACATTGGCAAAGAACCCGCTCGAATATAATATCCTTTCTTTCACATGGGTCTCACACCCATTTGAGTAAGGTTTCGGTACACCTCATTATGTAAACACTAGACAAATTCAATTTACTTTCTCCAAATTCAATTTCAGTCCATCGTATTTCTAATATATATATATATATATATACACACACACACGTACATAAAATTCATCATAATGCATTCTCTAAAAAAACACTTTTCATAAAAAAAAAATAATAATAGCCCCTGTTTAATTCTCATTTTCATTTTCAGGTAATAGAGAGAATAATATTTTTTAGAAAAATGAGTGGTTGAAAAAGAATGAAAAATTTTCGATTTACGTGTAATATTATTTTATATATATATATACGCACACGTACATAAAATTCATCATAATGCATTCTCTAAAAAAACACTTTTCATAAAAAAATAATAATAATAGCCCCTGTTTAATTCTCATTTTCATTTTCAGGTAATAGAGAGAATAATATTTTTTAGAAAAATGAGTGGTTGAAAAAGAATGAAAATTTTTCGATTTACGTGTAATATTATTTTATATATATATATATATACGCACACGTACATAAAATTCATCATAATGCATTCTCTAAAAAAACACTTTTCATAAAAAAATAATAATCATAGCCCCTGTTTAATTCTCATTTTCATTTTCAGGTAATAGAGAGAATAATATTTTTTAGAAAAATGAGTGGTTGAAAAAGAATGAAAATTTTTCGATTTACGTGTAATATTATTTTATGGAAGATTGAGTGGTTGAAAATAGGAGAGTGAGAAGTGAAATGTAATTTAATTTAATTTAATGGGGATCAAAAAGTGGCTAAAATCCACTTATAATTTCAAAAAAACTTTGTATTATTATTAAAAAGGGGGGGGGGGGGGAAAAAAATTATTTAATTT